GATGAGCCCCCGACTCTGTATTTTTAAGGCCCTCCCAGGTGGTTCTGAGGGACTCTCAGGTTTGGGAATCATTGTGCACCATTTGATGATTGGAGGGCAAGCGACTGGAAGTCCCGCACCCTGTGGTGGGCACAGCAAAGCTTATATGGGAGAGGATGGTGGAGCCAGATGGGACAGCCGGCCTGAGCACAAATGTGTCTCAACCTTCGTGAGGACGCAGCCCGGAGACAGGTGCTACAGGACTGGTGGACATTAGGCGCCACACCCGTGCCACTCACGGTGCCTAAGCTTCTCAGACTCGGGCCTCCCATGGAGGCGAGCAGGCCAGGGCCTCGTGCGAGCCTGTCACTCACTGTTGGCTAGGGTTATTTTGTTCCTTCTACTCTGGATGTGTGTGCATTCTGCCCTTGACCCCAAGGCCCTGGCCAGCAGCCCAGGGCCGGCCCTTTCTGGGGGCTTTGAACGTCCACTTGCCCCCCAGGGCTGAGTTCTGCAGGGAGCAGGGCCAGCTCCATGAGGGGAGGCGCTCTACTGCTCCGGGCCGCACCGGGCAGGCTGCCCAACACGGCAGCGGCCTCTCACCTGCAGGTCTTTGGAGCAAGACCACATGGCCGTCTGTCCGGGGTTGGGGAGCCACCGATTCTTGCTCTGTATGGAAACACGAACCAGATCAGCTGCCCCTTATTTTCCGATCCCAAGATTTGACGGTTTACTGTTCAACCCTGGTTGCAATTGAGAAAGCTGCTCTGGTGGTGGAAGGCGCAGGACTCTAGGAGGGCCGTATTCGCTGCTTTGGGACAGATGGACATTTCCAGATGGTTCCTGCCTCTCCCGCCTTCCTGACTGGGACGGCTGCCATGTAACGGGGTGGGTGGAGGGGGGGGTGGGTGCTCCCAGCCTTCTGTGCAGCTCCAGGAATCAGATAATTGACCGCCCCCTCCCCATATGGCTGATCAGTCACCGGGACAACAACGAAACAGAGCAGCTCGCGTGTGGCTGGGGAAACGGGAAGGGGCACATGTGGGCTCCACACCCAGGGCACATTTTAGGATGAGGGTGCACGCACAGGGTTCCTGTCTCTCCTCCCCACATCCATCCATCCGTCCATCCCTACCCAGGCCACCTCTGTCGAGGTTAAGTGACCACCAGCTCCTTAGCCTTCGATGTCAGAGCTGGAAGACAAGACAGACCTGTTTCGGTCCCAGGTCCAGGTCAGGCACCCCTGGGGGCCAGTCAGTGCTGGGGCAAGTAGGGACCTGGCCCCCCTCCCACCCTGCCAGCTGGCTTCTCCGTGTTCTCTCCCCGACACGCTCCTCACGCTGGGTCTCTTGCTGGTTGAGGTGCCCACCCTCTGCCTCTATCGTCATGGGGATACCTGCTCTGGGCTCTCAGGCTTGAGGACAGAGGTGATGGTCAAGGCGGAGCCGCTCTGTCCCCAGCCCATTCCACGGGTCTTTTCCGTTGGGGGCTTTAAAAAAAATCCCATCTCTTACCTTTTGGGGTCTAGAAATGTTCTGCACTTTCCAGCTTGAATTCCTGGGCTGCTCTTCCCATTTTATCCTGCTCGTCAAAAACTGTGTGCTCCCCCCCAGGCTGTTTCCTCCCATGAGGCCCATTCGGCTAAAGAACAGTAAAGACTCAGGACCACGATGGAGGGTCTGGTTTGCAAAGGTTTCCCTCGGAGTGGCTGAGACCACGCACTGTCCAAGGTCATCGGGGACAGCAGCCGTGGGGGTCCCCGCCCGAGGCCACCCGTGTGCTGACCAAAGGGGAGGTGCACACATGGTCAACGAGGGCCCCCGGGTTCTGCCCCCCGAGACTGCGGCCGAGCCAGGCCAGCCCGACGCAGGGTCTGCACATGCTCTGCTGGGGTGCAGTGAGGACAGAGGGAGGGAAGCCTGACCCCGCGAGGACGGTTTGCTCGAGGCTACCATGCTGCTGGAAACTGTGTCATCCCCGGCTGGGCCGGGGGCATTCTCACGTACCCCAGAGATGGCTTTGCACCCACAGACCTTCCATCAGGTGAGGGCCAGGGGTGTGCGGCCTGGCATTGTCCTTCACCCCACTCGGTGAGCAGAGCCCTCCCAGGGAAGCTAGGGGAAGGTGGGGATCAGCCCCAGGAATCCTGAAGCCTTCTCCATCCCTTGGCTTTGGGAAGGGGTCTGGGTTCAGGTTTATTTATTTGCTGCTAATGATTCAGGAAGTTTTATTGTTTATTTAATTTTTTTAAAGATTTTATTAACTTATGAGAGAGAGAGAGCGTGAGCAGGGAGAGGGGCAGAGAGCAAAGCAGACTCCTGGCTGGGCAGTCTCCTAGGACCCTGGATCATGACCTGAGCCCAGATGTGTCACCCACCGAGTCTCCCAGGTGCTCCCAATGGTTCAGTGGTTTTAATCAGCCACCGCCCTGTCCTCAGGGTGGCCACCATCCTGCTTTGTCCTGGGCTGTGCTTTCCCAGCAGAGCAAGTGCTCAGCGTGCTAACACTGCCAGCCCCTGTGAGCCAGGACAGGCCGGTCTCCTACTCTTTGATTGGAGGCCACTGGGAGAGGACAGAGGCCCGGGGGGGCCGGGGGGCAGAGAGGCACCTCTGAGCCCCAGGAGCCCAGGGCAGCAGCTGTTTTCCTAGTGTGAAGCCGTGTGTGTCACCCACTGCCCTTCTCCCCAGCTGTCTGAAATTTCTCAGTGTGGCTGCGGCCTCCATGCCCCCATTCCCAGGCAATGCCCCCTCCCCAGTTCCTTTGAAGTGCAACACTCAGGACCTAAGGCACAGGTGTGGCCTGAGCTGCGTAGACAAAACTGTGGCATCTCCTCCTCAATGCTAGACATCATGCCCCCATTCATGCAGCCTAAGACATCACCCCTTTTCTGCTGAGCAGTATCGAGCTCCACCCAGACCTGCCTGAGCCTAAAACCCACCAGATGACCCCTTCCAAGTCCTATTCTTGTAAACGCTCTAAGGCATTTCGGATCCTTGGAAAAATTCGTGAACCTGGGTGAAAGAAAGGAGGGAGCAGAATAAGAGGGTTTTATTTGGGGGTGGGGTGCTAGGGTGAGAGCACAATGCTGGTTTGGGGCCCCTCGCAGCCACCAGATGTCCACTTTCTTCGAGGAGGGGGATGGGACACAGCGAGGGAGGAGCAGGTTCTCCCTCCGACTGCAGAGACCACAGGCAGCGGGGTTCTGCTGTGCCCCTCAACAGCCCCCTCGGCAAGTGTGGGCAGCCAGCCATGCAGGCAGAGAAGGTGCCACCCTCCAACCCCGGGGCGCGCACAGCGGAGCCCCGACACCCCCAGCAGAACAGCCATGACTCAGCCCAGCAGCCGTTGGGGTGGGGGGTCACAAGGGAAACAGGTAGAGCCGCCACCGAGGGGCCAGGGGCTCCTCCACCTGGATTGGAATGGCAGAGGGGAAACTGAGGCTGGACCCTAGCTGGGCAGCCAGGCCAGGAAGGGCGGCTCCTGGGAGCTGGGAGCAGGGGTGCAGGGAAAAGGGGAAATTGGTTATTCCATGAGGTCACTTAACATGAGCCTCTCCTGCTTCCAAATAGCTTGGACTGAATTTTTATACAGACTTTCTAAAATCTTACCAAGTCCTAAAAGCAAGAGAGAGTTTATAAACGAAATCAAGCAAAGCATCACGTTAAATAGTCATAAAAATTATTTTTTTCTTGCTTCTTAGCCTGTCTCTCCATTAAACAGATTTCTAGAACAAAACGTAGGAAAAATTCCTGCCTTGTCAGTCTGAATGAGTTTCCAGGCTCAAGGGTCTTATTTTTGCCTTCCGCATGAGGTACCCAGCACTCAAGAGGTTAAGTGTTTTCTCAAGATTTCATTGTTTCTTGGAAATCCTGGCTTCCTGAAGGAAGAGCACTCCCAGGACGACCCCGTTTCCAGGGCTGCAAGATCAAGACAAGGTCAAGGTCCAGGGCTGGGAGCTCGGCTGCGTGGGGCTGAGGCAGGATGCAGCCCTCCCTCCCCGGTTCAGGGCTGAGGATGGGGTCCTGCACTGGGTCCTCTCAGAGCAGGGGCAGGAAGGCAGCAGCAACCCCCCACCAAGAAAGGAGAAAAAACCACATAGGCTTTGCCAGAGGGATCCACACACGCCACACATGCCGCACACGCCAAATACTCCAACTTCTGTATTGTTCACACCCAGCGAAGCCCCCCGACCCCCGAAGGGACCCTTGGGGGCAAGAAGGTGGGCTCCCCCCTGGACCCTCCCAGATTCTCTGCAAAGTAGACAAGGCCCCCCGTGGTCACTTGAGGTTAGGGGGACCCAAACGGCAGCATGAGGGTCAAGCACCAGCCAATGCGGGGTCCTGCTACCCAGGCTGAGGATGGGGTCCCCTCAGGGCATGTGGGTAGCCGAGGGGGACACGGCTGGGCAGGCTGCTCAGCAAACAGAGGCTCCCATCCTGAGGACACTGCCATCCCTCAGATGGCCTGGCTGGCTCCCAGGACGCCTGTCCCTGCCCCGTGCACCTGCTGGCCAGGTGTGGGGTGACCTGGCCCGGCCCTCAGGGCAAAGGCCCCCACAGGGAGCTCAGAGCAGCCACACATCCCGCCTGGCCCCCTGAAGTCTCAATCATGGTCAAGGACCCATGGGCCTAGGGTCACCCTTTGCAGAGTGTCTGGGGCAGTCCCGAGTGAGCCCCACAGGAACCTGGAGGCCAGGGTGGTATGGCTCAGTGGGCAGAGCTGGGGTCTGGGACAAGATGGGTCACTTCTGAGCCCAGGTCAGCAGACACTTTCTGCAAGGGCTGACCTGGAAAGATTTTAAGACCTGGGGTTGTGGTTACAGGGTCTCCGTCTCCGCCTCTCAGCTCTGTCTGCAGCTTAACGTCTGTGGGACAGCAGACTGTGGCCACAGAGGATGCCGACCCAGGGGGCGCAGCCACAGACCCTGCTCTCCAAGACCCCCAGGGACTCCTCCTTCAGCCAGTAGGGCCCCTCCGGGTCAGGTCCCAGGGGATGCAACCAAAGGAACAGAGGCAGCATGGTCGGTGTCCAGGGCTGTGCAGGCAGTGGTGGCACCCACGAGCGCCCCACAAGGAAGCAAACGTCTTTATTGAGAAAACACATGGCCGGCGGGACCTGGTGGGTCCCTGTTCTCACCCCCGGGGATGGGAGGCAGGGCCTTAGTGCAGGAGACAGAACAGAGAAACAGGGCTCCACAGGGAGCAGGGTGGGGACCCCATGCTCCCTTCCCTGACAGCGCCCGCACCGCCTCCCTGAGGCCACCGTGTGCATGGAGCGCCCCATGCTAGGCCGGCCGCAGCTTCATCTCCGACACCTTGTAGCTGTAGTTGTAGCCTCTCCCAGACTTCCAGTTGACGCCGTTGGCAAAGCTGTCGTGGGGCCCCCGGAGGTAGAGACCATTGAGGTTCGACAGATGGCACTTAGAGTACCACCAGCCCCCCTTGTACAGCTCTGCACAGTTTTCCGTAGCTGAGTCGTTGTCCTGGTCTTTGGTGGAGAAGGGCTGGGTGTTGTGGTATGACAGGGAGTCGCCTGCACGGGGGAGAGTGGGGGCGAGGTCTGGGCAGGCCGGCCCCATCCAGGTGTGTGTGTCATGCACTGCACAACTCTAGGGGGTGCCAGGGGATGCTTGCTCTCTAGTACAGTGGCCTTGGCACGTACTCTCATTCCATCTGTCCCTGCCAGCTGGCAAGCGTCCTTCCTCGGAGGAAGGCCACTCACTGCCCTGGGACAGTTGGTGCATCACCAGGGAGCTCCAGGCATCACATAGTGGGAACGTGGGTGCCACAAGAAACCACCACATTACTGCCCTTTCCCTGGTTGTGTTGCTGATGCCGTACAGAACAGTCCCCCACCCCACCACTGGACTTGTTACTGGACATGACATGTTGTTTTTGTGGGTACCAGCAGGTATGGGTGACAGGATCCTCACAGATGGAAAAAGGACCATGTCGGGCGGCCACTACCCCATCCATGTGGCGCAGGGGTAGAAGGGGAAGCAGGGCCCCGAGCCCGGGGTGGACCCTCACCTGCACTGCCCTCCACGAAGGCCCCCAGGACCAGCCTGTACTTCTCAGCCTCACCCGCCACCTTGAACGATGTGTACTTGGCAAACTGGCGGTTGCCCTCGAAGTCCATGAGGTCCACACGGAGCTCACTGGTTCCTGGAGCAGAGGGGCTGTCAGGTCCCAGCCGGGGACTCCTCATCTCAGCCCCAGGAGGTGGGAATGCAGGAAAGTGTGCAGGGACCACGTGGACTCGGCATCCCAGGGAGGTCTCCACACGTTCAGATACAAAGTCCTTGGTTATACGAGGGGCCATGAAGACCCACATCCCACACGTCCTCCTACGGCACCTGATCCCCTCCTCGTTTCTGTCTGAGGGAACAGGACACTGTTCTACCTCAATGAAGCATATTTTCCTGGCAGGGTGTGACATCACAGCCCCGGGCCGTGGGCCACTTAGGGTTCCTGCACGGGGGACAGTCTGGAACACACTGGAGCAGCAGGATGGCCAAGGGGATCGTGCAGGGAGGACAGATGGACCCCTGGCAGCCTCCCCAGGACAGCGGCAAGTGGTCACAGCAGGCAGAGGAGCCCGAGTGTCAGGACGCTGCCCTCACCCAGACCCGTGCAGGTCAGGGACAGAGGACCTGGAGGAGGGACGGTCTGTCTTCCCCAAGCAGGCACTGCAGGGTCCCCGGAAGCCTCTGGTCCCTCCTGTCCCAGGACCTGAGACTCCATTGGCGCCCTGGATGCATGAAGCCTCCCCGGGGCCTTGATGTGTTCCCCCCGGACGTTGGGCACAGAGGCAGAGCCCCCATGAGCAGGCTGGTGCAGAATCAGTGCCTCCCGCTGTCAGAGTGCAGCCCCCGCAGGATGAGGGACAAGGGCTTCAATCCAGGGCCCAGGCTGAGGTCAGGACGCGGGGTATCGGGCCCTACCCTGGGCAGTCAGGGCGTGGATGTTCTCATTCCCCAGCCAGAACTCCCCCAGCTGACTGCCGAAGCCCTGCTTGTAGGAGGCCCAGTCGCGGAAGAAGTCCACGGAGCCATCGGTCCTTCGCTGGAAAACCTGTGGACAGCGAGAGGGTCAGGGCCCCAGGCCCTGTTAGGGTCACGGCTCACGGGGAGGCCTCCTAGCTCAGGGGGCAACCTGGCGGAGCAGCAGACACGGCCACGGGGCCTCATTTCAGGTCCCTCAGAGGATCTGAGGACAGAGCCCGCAAGGGAGGAGGGGGACACAGAGGAACAGAGAGGGTGGGCAACAAGCCCAAAGCCACACAGCTGGGGGTGTGGGCTCCCTTGGGCCTCACCCCAAAGTCTGGACTCCCCCCCATAAAGATTTACCCCCCACGAGCTGTCTGGTCCTCCCTGCCCTGGACCAGAGGCTCAGTCAGCCTGAGGGTGGGTGGTGGATAGTGTGACAAAGGCCACAGGACAGTGTCTTCCCTCTGGCAGACATGGGCTCTGGGGGACCCTCAAGCAGATCCCCCTCCTGAGCCCCCCCCCCCGAGCGGTTCCCTGGGGCCCTGCACTCACGGTCCAGCCCCCACTGTCCGTGTCCATGTCGCACAGCACAGTCAGGGGCCGGCAGTCGGGCAGGTAGATGGTGTGCCAGCCGCTCAGAAAGGTCCCCCTGGTCAGCAGCTCCCTGCAGGTCCGAGGTGCTGGGGATGCACCCAGGGCTGCCATCAGGCAGGAAGCCCTGGCTGGGGCGATGGGGCCCGTCGGCCCGGGCGCGGAGGGACCTGGGCCCGATGGGGACCAAGCCCCAGGCTGCCCAGCCAGGTCTCCCTGGCAGTCCTGTCCCCCCAGGGCCACCCAGCTCAGTCCAGGGTCCTTGGCCTGCAGGGGACGTTGTAGCTTCTGGACAACATCACCAGGGGCCTGCTGCCCACTGCTGAGCCACCCAGGGAGGGACCTGCGGCTGGAGTGTGGGGTCCTTGAGTTCTGGAACCCGAGCGAGGGGGGGGCGTCTGGTGGAGCCTTCCGTGGGGGTAGCAGGTGTCAGCTCAAGAGTGGGGGGGCAGTGGCGCGGTCGGTCACCTGTGTCGCAGGACTGAGGTGACCCAGGCTCTCCTGTGGGCAGGAGAGGACATGCACATCAGGGCCTGGAAACAGAAGCCCTGGCCCCTGCAGCCCCAGGAATACAGGGGAAGCAGAATGGGGGTCTGCCCAGGGCGGGAGGGCTGTGAGCCTGTCGGTCCCCGGGACAGATCTGCAGGGCCCTGCAGTGTCCTCCTGGCCCAGGAGCAGACAGTCTCTCTGGGCGCTGGGTGCCCACCAGGTGGGCCATGTGCCTGGGGCCTCCGGGTCTTCAGTGGGGTAGGAATGGACTTTTCACCTCCACCCACTGTCCCTCAGACTCAGAGCCTCTGCTCGGGGAGACATCTGGGGACAACAGGCTTTCAGGTCTGTGCCCCAGTCCTATGCTTTTTCTTGGTGCTCAGAGCACGCGACTAGGTCTCAGGGTTTGGGAGTTTGTCTCTTACATGTTGTTTGATAACAACGTTTCATAAGTGAGCATAAATAGGAGCATAAACAGGAGGGAGCATAAACAGGAGGGCAAGTGGGGGAAGGTCTGCACTCAGCAGTAATGACTCTGGCTGTCACTAGGGTCCCGGGTGGGGGGATTGCAGGGCTGTGACCCTCACAGAAAGGACGGCACCCTGAGCCCTGGCCCAGACCCTGGGCACTTCCCTGCCATTTCCCTGAAGAGACAGGAACTTGGGTCTGAAACCCATTCCCCCCGAGATGCCGCCAGGCTGACTGTGGCCTTGGGAGCCCCGCATGGCCAGAGCCTGTGGATGCGCCCCTGAACCTGGCCCAGGCTCACCTTTCTGCCCCTGCACGCCTCTCTCTCCTTGGTTTCCTGGAGAAGATACAGGAGGAAGGACCCCCGACAGAGAAGGTATGGTCAGTGCAGGGCTGCCCCAGGGCCTGGACGTCCCCATTGCTCTGTTGGATCCCCAAGGTTTCTAATGTCAGGGTCTCCAAGGAGGGAAGGGGACCCCGAGGCCTGGGATCCTGCCCCCCCAAAGGAGAGGTCACTGGAGACCCAGGACCCCCCACCCAGGACTCAGGTCATACACGATCTCCAGGCTCCTTGGAAATGGACCTATGACCTGTCTCTCCCTGTCACTCTGCCACTCTGTCCCTCCCTGTCTCTCTCTCCCAAACTCCCCGTCCTCTGTCTGTGCTCCTCTCTCATCTTCTATGAACAGACCAGGGTCCCACACAGGGGTCCTCACTCTTTATCATGTTGTTACCTTTGGGTCCCGGTGGTCCGGCCTTCCCAGGGACTCCAGCGGGACCAGGTGCTCCTGCAAACTCCAAGGACACAGGCATCGTGGACAAAGGTGCAGCCCAACGATTCCACATGAGCTCTTTGCCCCAAGTAGTAAGGTCTACCCAGCACTACTTATCCTCAGAAGGCTGCCCGTGGGGTGGACGGAACTGCCTGGGGTGGATGGGGCTGCCCTGGGATGGACCCAGCTGCCCCTGGATGGACAGAGCTGCCCCTCGGGTGGACCCAACTGCCCTGGGGTGGACGGAGCTGCCCTAGGGTACACCGAGCAGCCCCTGGGAGAAGCCCAGGCCCAAGTGGAGACCAGATAGTCACCTGCAGCCCCGGCCCCAGGGCCACCGCTGACCCCTGGCTCCGCTGACCTGTGTGCAGGGCCCTGGCCCAGCTGCCCCCACGGAGCCCTATGGTCTAGTCAGCGCCTGGAACACGGGGCACATCCCGGGAGATCCTGTCCCACCGGTCCCCATGGGACACGGCCGGCCTCTCCTGCAGTGGGTTCCGTGCAGGGTGAGCCGGTGGGCACTGCCCCCCCGGATGCCGTGGAAGTCGGGCCATCGTGAGCCCCTCCCCCGAGGATCTGACTCCACCCACAGCAGAGCCGCGTGGCTCTGACCCCACTGTGTGCAGGGCAAGACCCGCGCCCCCACCTGCAAGTGCAGGGGGCATGGCCACCCCGGGCTCTACCTGGAGAAGAGCAGGCTCTGGGTCACCCCACCCCGAGCCCGGGGTGCCTACCTCTCGCTCCATCGACGCCTGCGTCTCCCTTGGACCCCACGGCCCCTGGCAGCCCCGGGCAGCCTCGGAGGATGGTGAGCTTGCCAGAACCCTCCAGATCTAGCACCTTCGCCTCTGCAGAGAGACACCAAGTGTCGGTGGGTGCGCCCTGCCTGGGCCCGAGGCCCCAGCAGATCCTGTGGACAGACTGCCCTGCGAGGGGACCCCGAGCCTGGGCTGACCGCTGCGCACCACTGGACGGTCAGCCTGGACCTGGGTTCCCCCGCCTCTGGTGTAGACGTGCTCTGTCCCCCTGATTGCCCGTCCATGGGTGCTGGTCAGGCGGGAGGAGATGGCCTTGGAGTCCTCCCTGCCCAAGGGGAGCCCAGCTCCTCAGTGCTGTGTGTCCTCGGGCACATCCCTCCGCCCCCCTGGGCCTCTGTCCTCTGGGCTCCAGGAGGATGGGAAGAGGGCTGTGGAGGAGGATTCCTTAGATGCTGCAAATGTTTCCATCTGAGCAGGATCCGTGGCATTTAGAAAGAGCTGCATGAACACTGGGGACTTTCAATTACTAATAACCCTAAATATTTCTGGGAAACTCGGGGATTTTGGGTCAATGTTGAAATTTCACCCCCAGCCCTTGGACAGGTGCTCAGAGAATTCCTGAGCCACCAGGGGTCCTTGTGGGTCCCCTGGAGAGGGATGTGTTTGCTCCCAGGACACAGAGCAAGGGTCCTCGGATTTGGGAGCAGAGGTTGATTTACTTGGTGGCATTTGATCGTGTGGATCCCGAAGCCAAAACATCCGGGTCAGAGGCCTGGGGGTGTCTCGGGGGTGCCTGACAGCACAGGGTCCTGCGGGGGCCGGGGGCAGGGAGCCGCCACAACCTGGAGTGCTGTTCTGTCCTCCTCTCACTGCTCAGAACACGGTAGGCTTCATTTTAAACTTTGCTTCATTTTTTCTCATTCATAAAGAAGAGTTGGCAATTTTAGACAAATTAGGAAACACAATGTGTTTAGGGGAACAAATTTACTGTCCCGTGTTCTTCCAGTGAAGGATCCTGGTGTTTCCCGTCTCGAGGGTTCCAGGCCTTTCTTGGCAACTCCGGGTAAATCCCACTCCCCGTCCCGCCGACCCAGGTGAGTCTGGCACCAGCTGTGGCACTTGGACTCTTGGAAACACACCTGTTCTGTCCTTCCTGGTCCAGGACCTCCGGCAGGTCAGGGTGGGGGCAGGGGGCGCAGGGCAGGGGAAACAGCTCCTGAGCCCAGGTCTGGGAAAGGCGGGCAGGAGGCTGCTCTGTCTCCCCGCTCAGAGGCACAGCGGGGCACCCCTGCCCCAGAGCCTGACGGTCCTTCGGTACTGGGTGTGAGGTCCCCAGGACCCTGTGATTGCCTGCCCTGCACGTGGACCCTGTATCACCCCCCTGCACATGGACCCTGTGATTGCCCCCCTGCACATGGACCCTGAGCCCCGGAGGAGAAGGATTCCTCCGCAGGGTCCCCTGCTGACAGCGCGGGCCAGGGGTTGGGCCCATCACCTCGGGGTTGGACTTGCCCACCATCCTCTTCTGGGAAAAGACACTTAAAATGCGCCATCCCAAGGAATAATGAAGAGTTTTCACGGAGGGCTGAGCACAGGCCTGGCTTGCATGTGCAGGCTGCCAGCTTCCAGACCTGATCAAGGTTGAGCCTGCTCTCCTGGTGTCTGACTCACCTGGACAGGTGTCCTCAGTCGAGGCCACAGTGCACAGGAGGGCAGTGACAGCCAGGACGGCAGGTCCTGCAGCAAGTCTGCCCCGCTGCATGACTCTGGTGTGTGCAGCTGCGGGAGCTCCTGGCTCTCTGAGGCCGTGGCCTCCCCCTCTTAACCCCTGCCTTTATTTCTCTTCCCCGGGGGGCCACTTCCTTCCGAGGCTTGTGGCGCCAGCTAGAGTGACACAGTCCCATGCCCTGATAGCGAGCATCCTGTGTGACAGGCCTCCCTTCCCCTCATAGGGACACACTTCCCAGCAGAAGACCCCAAAGCCCTGTGTGGAGAAGGCCCAGCCTGCCTGTCTCTAAGGAACACTTGGGGCCCCTCCTCATTCTCTGGCTCTGCGAGATAATAATCCGAGGCCTTTCCTGGTTGGCAGAGTTTGGAGAGCTGCTCACTGGCCTACAGCAGGCTTCACGTCTCTGGCTGGTAGAAGGGCAGGGGAGGGCAGAGTGTCTGTAGGAGTCACTGGCCAGAGTGAAGAGGGGTGGCCTCCGACCAACTGCCAAGGGGTGGGGGGCGTGTGGGTGGTCGGGTCAGGGCCAGGGACGAGGCCAAAGAACAGTCTGTGAGCCTGGTGGCAGCAGCGTCACCAAAACAACAGGGAAGGGGTTGGAGTCACGTTGAAGCCACCCTGGGCCACTTGACACCCAGGCAGGGGCGTCTGCATCCCCACCTCGACCTCCAGGCATGGCGTGAGCATCGTGACACCCATGTCAGACAACACCACGTGGGTGTCAGGGATCTCCTAGAGAGCACTTCAGTGTCCGTGGGTGGTGTGGTTCTTACAGGTCCCCCAGGGAGACACTCAGGGGAAATGGTGATTAAGCTGCCCCAGGCAGCTTTGAATTTAGTGCAGGTGCCCTCTTACGAGGGAGAAGAGGGGGACAGGCCCCCGGAGAGAGGACGTGGCTTCAGGAGAGGCAACCCTGCTCTGGAGGAACTTCCAAAGGTCTGGTGGTCTGTGACCGGCTGCCTGTGCGTGGGGTCACCCTTGGCCTCCCACCTGGCCGACGGAGCCCCCGGAGGGATGGCATCCAGGCCCCCATGGGAGGAGCTGCCTCCAGGTGGATGCAGGGTCCAGGGAAAGCCTCCTCCCAGGTTTCTCAAGTGTTCTCAAGCTCAAAATAACAAGCCAACGTGGCATATGTTGGGGTGGCACATCCTGCTGCCCTCAACTCTGACTGGTCATAGGCAGGGAGATGCCACACCCCAGTGACAGGAAGAGGTGGCTTCCTGGGGACCCGCAGAGGGTCTGCTCTCAGAGTCCTGGGCAGGACCCACCCAGACAGCCGGGGCGGCCCCTTGGAGCCACGTCTGGAAGCCACTGCGTCCTACCCGCCTGGCCTGGCTCTGCGAGTCAGGCATGGGTACGTGTGCTGCCCTCTGGGTGTAAACAGGTCAAGGGACAGAAGTGCGTAGCCCTGATAGTGGAGCATAACGAACTCCGTGGCAATTTGGTGTTCTGAGTATTGGTGATATTTAAGAGAATTCGGTCTATTATAGTACAACCCGATAATCGATTGAAAATGTGACCTTAGGACACCTGGGTGGCTCAGCAGTTGAGCATCTGCCTTCGGCTCAGGGCATGATCCTGGGGTCCTGGGATCGAGTCCCGCATCGGGCTCCCCGCAGGGAGCCTGCTTCTCCCTCTGCCTATGTCTCTGCCTCTCTCTGTGTCTCTCATGAATAAATAAATAAAATATTTAAGAAAAAAAAAGAAAAGAAAATGTGACCTTGACTCATGGAACCGGTTGGTGATTTCATGTGGAAATGGTGCTGTGTTTATAGCCTTGGAACAGGGAAGAGAGCCCTAAGTTCATCGTGCTCATATATTTGCCTTATTGGATTTCTAAAAATTAGCTGATGCCTTGAAGCTTTCTTGAAAGGCAGACAAACCAAAATGTTGGGATGGAAATTGGGACGTACTCGCTTTGTGAACACGGCTATGATGTTTTCAGCTGTCCGACTTCCTACGTCGGCAAACGCAACAAGAACTATTCATGGGTCCCTTGAAGAGAGTCATGGGAACATGCCTGTTATGTACAGTCAGGTTTGTAAGTCAAACTTAAAAGCTGAAGGAATCACTGGACTTTCAAGGCTGTAATCGTAACACAGAGGACAAACCACATTTGAATTCTTTGTAAAGACAGGAGTACACCGAGTGGCCTTCTCTATGCAAGGAACCGAAGGAAACCTAGCCGTGAAACATCTCGGGGGGGACCTACGTCCATGGGGCAAGGGTCAGGCGCAGGGGCATCTCTGGTCCTAGATGGTGGAACTGAGGCCCAGAGAAGGAAGGAAGCTGCCAGGGGCCACACAGCCTGTTACCCTGAGTGTCAGGGTTAGAACCTGGCTCCCCGGAGTCCCTGGGATGCTCGCGCTGCCACCCTCTGTGTCCCTCTGTTCTTCTCCCTCTATCCTGTCTCCCACCCCCTGCATGGGGACAGGGCTTGCACTCAGATCAGCCTCACGAGCGAGAGAGAGAGGAGGGCTATTTAGTGAGCACCTACTACGCATAGTACAGGCCCTGTGGCACCACGGGAACCGAAGTAGACAGGCCCCTGCGCTCTTGGGAAGGCAGAAAACAAACAAATAGACAAACAAATACATGAGAACAACATGATAGGATACGATATGCTTGAGAAAGCCAAGTGCACTAGGAAGGACGCCTGAAGAGAGCATCATCAAGGTCCATTAGCCCGAAGCAGGTGAAACCTGAACTCTCCATGGCTTCCCACAGGACAGTGATGCCAGCGCACTGTGGGGGCTCCTGGTGGGCATCCCCCCTCCCAGAAGCGTCTTGGGGACCCACATCTTCTCCAGCAGCTGTCTCTGCCATCTTCCCCAAGCAGCCCCTCTCCGGAGGGTCATCGTCACTCCAGCTGAGCATGGAGGCTGTGCAGGGGCAGCTTCAGGCCTGGGGTGGGGGGTAGTCCCCACGCCTCCCTCTCACCCTGCCTCCTGCAGTGGCCAGTGCCTGTCTGACCCCTGGTCATGTGCCGATGGAGGGGGTTGGTGGCGGGGCGGAGGAAGTAGGTGTTGCTGAGCACATGGGACAAAGGACTGACACTACCCAGAGACACGTGTTCAAGGTCACTGTTTAACCAAGATGCTCTTCCACTCATTGACTCGCATCCTGACCCACCCCTGGAGATGCATTTTTCCTAAGTGGGCATAGTGCCAGGTCCCGGGTTCTCATCCGCCTCCCACCACCCACCTCCCCCCCGCCACTCAAAGTACAACACTTGACTGCCTACCGTCTTGCTCTTGACTTGCTACCCCCACATCCTTCTCTCTCTCCCCCCTTTCCTTGGTTGACCTCTCTGCCTTGACTCTTTGGCTCTACTTCTTTGTGTGGGATTCCCCGGTCATGCAGGGATCATGTGGTGCACTGTACATCACCACGGTCCCCTCGGGGGACTATTTCTCCAGGTCACCACAAACTCACATAGGAATGCCACACAACCCTTTATCCTGCAGTTGTTGTGGATTTTGCTGCTACAGACATTACGGGCTTCCACAATGCATTTCTATTATTTGTATCTTAAATTTTTCAATTGTCTTTGGACAGCCTCTCTCAAAGAGAGGGGGGCAGGTATTTTGTGCATATTTGCCAGCTCTGCTGTGCTCTTCATTTCTGCCTCAGGATCTGCATTTCCACTTGGAATCATTTCCCATCCGCCTGAAGAACTTCCTTCCTTGCTTCGGGGAATGGGGGTCTGCAGAAGACAGATTCCTGTCACTTATGATTGTCTGGAAGTGTCCTTTCTTCACCTTCATTCCTGAATACTGACTTTGCTAGAATTGTATTCTAAGTGAGGAATTTCCACCTCTTAGCACCTCAGGACATCCTTCCGCCACCCGCTGCTGCCAGGAGAAGCTCCCCGGCCTCGTCCCTGCCGCCTGCTTCTCCCGGCCCGGCCCCCGTGGCTTCTAGCAGCTTGCCTGGGGATGATCTTCCTTCTAGTGCCCCTGCGTGGGTTTCACAGAGTTCTCGGATCTGCAGATCCATGCTGCGGATTGAATGTAGACATTTTGGGCTAACACTTCGTATAGTCTTCGGGCCCTTGCCCCTTACACCTTTCAGCTTTTGACAGCAACTATACTCTTGCAAGTTGGCTCAGTACCTTCCCCTTAATTAAGGTTTTATTCACTTTTTATGTAACCCTTGTCTTCTATATTTCGGTTTGGAGTAAAGCATCAACATGTTCTCAGAGTTGTCCACCCAATGGATTTTTTTATTTCAGATATTACTGTTTTTATTTCTGATATTTCGTTTCTTAGAGCTTCCTTATCTCTTTTGAAATCCCTCCCTTCCCCAGCCACATTATCCATCTTTCTTATATGCTATATGAAATCTATCTACTTATTTTTGAAGTCCATGTCTATAAATTCCAACATCTGAGGCACCATTCATTTGCTTCTATAGACATTTTACCTCTTGATCACAGGTCACGTTTTCCTGCTCTCGTGTGTGTCTAGTAAACCTTGAGTCTATGTGAGACACTGTGGACATTATGTTACAGAGACTCTGGACTCTGTGCTCTTCCTGAGAAGAGAGCTGAGCTTTGTGCTGGCAGCAAGGGACCAAGGCTGGATAGGGAGGCCCTATTCTGTTCCTAATCCTAGGGGATAACTTCAGGCCTTTTACTCAAGGGTTGGTCTCCTGGGGTTTCAATAGGAAGCCTGACGTGTTTCTCTGATCCATCGTGTGAATTCAAGGAGCTGGATAGTGCTGGCATCTCCGCTCAGCTGTGCCAGCCTGCCAGCAGCTCTCCACCACACCCCCAGCACCTCACCTCTTCCCTCTTCAGACCAGCAGTGAGCCAAGGACAGGCCAGGCTGGCGTGAGCAGCTTTTTGTGAGAAGCTTCCCCGCATGGCTTCCATATCTTCAGGGTTTCCCAGCTCATCTCCAGTGCTCTGTAGCCAGATCTCCAACTCCAAGTCCCCAGCCTGCTCAGACAGCCTCCTTCTGCAATGCTCCCACTGCATTATCGTGACTGGGTGGGGGCCTTCAGGAGAAAGTTGGGGGATGACACATTTTCCCCATGTGGCTCCCTTCTCTCTGGCTTACCCCACATCC